GGTTTACGGACGAGTCTATCGCAGCGTTCGGTGCCCCACGCGCGTCAATGCTCTTGTGAAACGGTGCGCGTCGTAAGGTAAGGAGCAATGTATGCACCGACACGCGCGAACTGCCAATTAGACGCCCCCGAGGAAGCTAATTTCGACCCGCCGACTGAGCGACGCCGAAAGAACGGTTCCGACTAAGGTTCAATTCACACTACGAGGCTGACGGCGCAATGGCAAGTAAATATAAAATAAATTACTTTGAAGACGGAAATTCAGAATGTGCTCGGTGCTGCCCTCTGTGTTGAGCCTGAACGTTAAATTATTTCGGTATAGGTTTGGTTTATGGTTTTCTATGGATATCTGCTAAAATTTTCTCATATAGTTTTTTTAGTCAGTGGTGAGGTGGATATCACGAATTTTGCATTACATTTTCCCCATAATTGTCATTCCTGGTTAGGAAACGCACCCAGCGTTTTCTTTTTTTAATATTGAGAAATAACTATTCAATATTTAATATAAATTAATTTTAAACAGTCGCGTTATTCTGTCTTTGTTTTTATTAAATCACGCCTTTAATTTGCAATGATTATAAAAGTTTGCTCATTCGACTAACAAGATTATTAGTAACGCCAGCATCCATTTGTTTATCGAAGTTGATAAGTCTTAGTGCCTACAGCATCTGGACGCGCAATCGGAGAGTACAGGTTCAAATCCTGGCAACGGTAAAATTTAGCAAAAGTATTTTCTACACATTTTTAACTTTTATCTAAGTTTTCAGATACTAACACTAACAATCAAGTATTAAATATCAAAATAGAAACGTTATTTTGTTCGTATTTGTGGTCCTCTTACTTCCTTTGTATAACGGATGAATCCCCAAGTTCCAGTTCCTGTGGTAGCTGACCGCAAAATTTGATAATCAAATAACGTACCGTCTGCAGTTTCTATATATCTATTTAATATTTCCATGCGGATACAATTTTGTAGTAAAGTTAAAATCTAAAATTTCAATAGTATAATGGTTACGCCTATTTACTTTTACATCGCGACATGTGCAAATAATGTTCAGGAAGTCGATGGATGCAGGTGAATAAGGATCGTGCTTCGTGACAGACTGTGGGTAAGGCCTATGTTCAGGAGTGGACTCTAACTGGCTGATATCATGATGATGATGATGGTTAACTTTTAGGAAGAAGCTGTATTAAAATACAGCTTTTTTGACAAAAATTTGAAAAAAAAAAAAAGATTCAGTATAAATTAAAGTGTCGTTCGTATTTTGACCTGATTAACATGATTTGACAGATCATTAAAAACGGACCATAGCATGCTCTATACGGCTTCGTATGGGTTATTAAAATTTCTCTGTGATAGTGAAATAAAAATCTAAAAACACGAATATAAAATATTTAAGTATGTAATATATTTTTATGGATTGTATTTTTTAATCACGTAATGATAGTCAACACGCTGTCTAATATTGCACTAACATTTTAATGAATCATTTAAGAATCGATACAGGATCAATAGAAGAAACACGCTCTTTTATATACTGTTAAATCATATTTACCTTACCGTAATCGGTTGCCTAGGCCTTTATTTTTTATTCCTTTTAACGTTTTGATATTTCATAATGAAACAAGCTATGTTTTAATGCGGCAGTAGCCTATCAAAGAGAATATAAAAAACGTTTAATATTGCATAGATAACATAATTTCTTTAATGTACACGCCTTTGTAACTGGATTCCCGCAATATCTAGAGCAGTGATTCTCAACCACTGTGCCGCGGCACTTTTGTGTGCCGCCAAATTTTTCAAATATAATTATAATAATGTTAATATTATTAAATTATATCATTTAAAAAAAATATTTTTTGGCATTAGCCAACATTAAAACTAAAAAAAGATCAAGATTGTTAAATGTAGAAGACGATATGAGAGAGTAGCATTGTCATTTTTATGACCATAAATGACATAAATGAAATTAAAAAAACATCAAGGTCAAATTTCGCATTAAAAATATTTTTATTATAAGCTTGTAATTAATCCCTTAATAAACGTTTAGTTATTATTGTAGTATATATTAGTTTATTTCGTATATTTAAAATTTTTTTCATAAACTATTTATGCAGTGTGTTGTAGTAAGTAAATAATTTGTATCTTTTTCTTTGTGTGCCGCCAAATTTTGAAATCGTTAAATATGTGCCGCAACAAAAAAAAAGGTTGAGAATCACTGATCTAGAGGCTATGTATAACTGGAATCTCATACACAACCCCTAGATATAATTATTCGTTTCACTGTAGAAATGAGTTGAAAACAATAAGAGTAGAAGTTCCTTCTAACATTGCCAAGGGGCAAGGCCGTCCGTTGCTTAGCGCAATTATTGACCTAACACTTTACCTACGGTAACACAAATGGTATAACGTCATGAGCGCTATTCGTTCACCGTTTGCACAAGAAAATCCTTTGGAGCTTTTTTTTTTAAATATCGAAAAGCTGATATCTCGGCAGTAAAAAAATAATCGTTTGGTTATAATTTCCTATGTGTCCTTCCATTATGTCCTTCACTCCGCTCAAGTAAATACACTTATTTCCAATCTTGGGAAATGTTTGCCGTTTGTAAATTTTGACATTTTTAAGCTATCGTCTAAACGATGTAGATTTTTTGAAAAACCTCAATTTTAATAGACTATATAGTCTTTAAATTTAGATTGTGAGTGTGTGTTGCAGGGTTCATAAAATATTATACATTTATAAATAAATGTCATTTAAAGTTTTCATTCCGTTGCTAGATTTTTATTATTAATAGGGCATATGAAATGAAATTAATGTGCTTCATTTAGCCATTTGTATGAGACATCCCTGACGAAGCGGCGAAGCCCCCTCAGTTGCTAATGCCCATTACGCGAGCATTAAAACTTGAGCTAGCAATCGAAGGGAGTCTCGCGTCCCCTCCCTCGAGTTTGTGCCCGCAGACGAGCTCCGTTCGCCTACGGAAGGACTCCGGTCATCGTTTACTGGTAAATTATCTGTCTCTTGCTAAAACGAATCTGAAGGTGTAACAGACACACGGCTGATGTCGACGGAACATCGTTATTTTGTGACGAAGTGAACGCTGTAAAGACCAGCAAAGAGAACAAACACGAAAAAAAAGTAATACGACAATATCAAATAAATTGAAAAAAAAAAACCCATTAAAATAAACTTCATTGTACATTTTAATAAATAAGCTAGAGTGTCAATTTGACGAATGGTAATTTAATAATTGACCGTTCGTTTGCCCGGAGGTAAAAGCAACAGTCATTCACGTGGCAGGCGGTTTTATTTCTTGCAAAGGAGACAACTTTTACTGCATCACGGTAGATCGATTATATTTTGTACTGTGCCGATTTTTCGACAAGATGCTGGCTTAGTCCGCCAATCCGCAGTGGGGCCGCGTGGTGGACTATGACCCTGATACCCTCTGTACCGGGGAGGCCTTTGCCCAGCAGTGGGACATGTAAAGGTTGATACTTTACTATACTAATGATATATGTAATGCTGATTTCCTTACAATCTTTGCACAGAGTTTATTTCGCGTGCCGACGGCGCCATATTAGTAATCGACCATGGTGTACGCGTCGAAGTATACATGTGAAATAGTAGTAAAAGTGTGTAAGGATTTTGGGATTTGGAAATCACTGATCCATGCGTAGCCCCCTCTAAACCTATTTTCTTTATTCATTTAAATGATTCTGGGTTTGATTGGAATATCAGAGGAGTTAAAAAGTTACGTAACAATTGATAATAGGTCTTTATTATATTTCGCCATTTCAAACAAAAAAAAGTTCAAATTCAGTCTTTTGTTTATTGATAAGCTTTGTATTTTTATTACATTACATATACCTACCAACTATGACTCCTTCCAAAATTTGCGGGAAAAAATTCAATTCCCGAGAGACAGTACAAATTGCCTTTCAAGAGTTCAGCTGATTTTTACAAGAAGGGCATCAATAAATTGCTAATGTGTTGACAAAGATGCATTGATTGCATGTGTGATTACTTTGTATAACAGAAATAAAAAAGTTAAAAAAAAAACTTATTTCTTACTAAACCGCAATTTTATAGGTAAAGGCCTAATGCATACAGGTCGAATGAATAAATGTTATTCAAGTTACTGATGCGTTCCATATGTATAATATTAATTACTCGCGGTTACACAGTGTTCAAAATCAGTATGTCACAATTATTAAAGTTCTTTGTTAGTTGAGATTAAATATTTTGTTTTATTAGTGCAATTTATTTGGATTTTTCTCCCTTTTGATTTTTTTATTTTTTCCCGTTTTTTTTAAACTTTGCGCTTATATTAATCTTTTTTAAATTATAGGGATATACTGACTATCTTTCTCTTTACCATTAGATTATTGGGTTGGGGTTAACACGTGCATCATTGAATTTATACAATGAAATACGAAGTCGTAATATATTAGATCAGTCATCTGTGAATTTTTTCGTTGGAAATTATCAACAGAAATTAAATCCACATTTTATAATCTATGTATCCGTTTCTCCGATTTAAGAACGTAATGAAAACGTCGCGTAAATATTGAAACAATTTTTGATGATCTGATCGGTGAAAGTTGGAAAGCAAACGGGTGCATGTTTATTTGCTATCTTTTAGTTTTATTATTTATTAAAACAATTGCTGGAATATATTGTTGTTGAATATTATTAGATTATTTAATTCTTTTCATTCTTTCATTTGTGTGTGTCAATTGGCGCATCCGCTAAATTCGTCGGGCAACCGATATAATTAAATACCCGGGCGGAACGTATCTTAATTCCACGGTTGGATTGGACCGGACAACAATGGCGTTATATCTGTATTCCATCCCTTTAGATATCATTAAGGTTAAAATTGTAATGACCTACCTTGATTAAAATTGAAGACAGACAGCGGAGTCTTAGAAACAGGGTGCCGTTTCACCCTTTGTTTACGGAACCATAAAACCAAACTCTTGTCTATTGTTCACAGATGGCGCCAATGCGCGGCGAGCGTGGGGGTTCCCCGGCGCGAGGCGTGCGCGCCTCTTTGCCGCTGCCGCGCCGCCTCATCAGGCAGATCGCGCGCCACGTGGCCTCCAGTGGCCGCTCCTTACGCCGCCTAGAGGTCTCCGGCAAGGTCATCGACAACTTCGACGACATAGAAGACGCCTCCGACGACTCCGACTTGGAGACGCCACAGCCCGCGTTAGTATTAGTTGTTTAGTATTTTACCGAAATCATGCTGTCGCATGCTACCTCGACGGAGACAAAGACAGCGATAGCTCTAGGGATTACTTTACCGGTATCATGCCGTCTCGCGCCTTGCGACCTCGACGGAGACAAAGACAGCGATAGCTTAAGCTCAACTATCCAACACTTACGCACGGTCCCTGATACACTGATCATCGTAGAAGTTAACTAATCGGCTGTCAAATGGCTTTTTAAATGTTATTTAAGTTGCCAAAAGGATGGTTAAACTCTCTAAATTGATCAGAATGATCTTAATGATCAGAATGAAATTGAAAAGCCAATTGACAGCTGATTAGTTGAATTCTACGATGATCAGCGTTTCAGAAACCGGGCGTTAGCAGGCGACGAACGTGGTCTCACACCGGACACAAATGTGTAACAGCGACTTGTGCATTCACTCGGTTTCGTAACGACGACAGATCGACAGTCGATACTCCGATCACTAAACTATAAACTATTGAATTATATCGATTTCAAAACTTTCGAGAGTCATTAAATCTCGTGAATATCGATTAAACGTCACCTGCACTCTATAGAACTGGTCATGGATAAAGCAATAGACTATGTAAAGCTGCGATAGCCGATTAATACCAAGCCCCGTTAGGTCTCGCTTTCGAACGCTTTTGATGAATGTCGTTCAACGCGTAATCCATTAGCCAACTTATTGCGTGCTTATGTATACAATCGAGGATGTTGTTTCCAATCTCGGTCTGCGCCAATGTGATTGCCGTTTTATGGATTTGTTTTCTGCAACGTTTATCTTGTTCCATCTGTAGCTGGGGTATAGCGTGATAGACGGACGTTTGGGATTAATTAAGCCCGGTGACACCTGGATAGTGTCGGCTGTAGTTTATTTTTTCCATTATTCTTGTCAAAAGTATGCGATTCACCTGATGTTTGATGACTCCGTGACGCAGCTGCCAAAGTATTGGCTTCGGCCTCGGGGGTCGTGGGTTTGATTCCAGCAAGGTATAACTATTTGTGTGACCGACAGGTAGTTGTTTCGCATCTGGACGTTTTATATACGTAAATTTCACATCGAAACGTGAAATTTACGAATGTATAAAGTAAGGGGAATGTTTTTTTTTTAAAAAGCATAAAAAAATTACATTGGCGTAATGGACAGTGGAGCTCCTGCGCCGAACGGTGTGGGTTCTATACCCACTACTAGAAAAATATTGTGTGATGAACATAGTGTTTTTATATATGTATTTATTAAAGAAAGTGTGTTTAAGTAGATTTATCAGTTACCTAATATCCATAGTACAAGCTTTGCTTAGTTTGGGACCTTATATCGTGTAAAAATATCTTGAAATATTTATTTATTATTATTTAAGCGATTACCGCCGCACTTGGACGTCTCTAACACCTGAGGCGTGGGGTTTTCATGGTGGGTTCCTGTTACCTCACTCGCCAAACCAGTACTGTCATAGGTGACGGTTAATGCTTAAAATAAGATGGAGCGCTGTGAGTTTGACAACTTTCCATAAAATACGTCCAAACATAAGTTATAAGACCAGTCCGGTACGTTTCTCGCTTTCGTTCATATATACATAACTAGCGATCCGGGTTGGCTTCGCACGGGTGCAATGTATTATACAAATAAACCTTCCTCGTGAATAACTCTATCTAGTAAAAAAAACCGCATCAAGATCCGTTGCGTAGTTTAAAAGTTCTAAGCATACATAGGGACAGGCAGACAGCGAGACGACTTAGTTTTATACTATATAGTAAAGTGATAATTTTACAGTTCGACACTCAATGGATTTGGCGTTTACTTTAATCAATAATACCTGAGAATTTAGGTTACGTTATCTACATCAGCTTTGCCATAATATTCAATGAAGCAGCAACCATGCTGTTTATACAAACTTTGAACTACAAACGTATGTCGATACATCAGCTGTAGTTCAATGTTTGTGCAAGTGCGAGTCGCCGATGTTGAAATGTCGCATTCGAAGTATAGATTAGCGATGAGTTTAAAATTGTATGAACTTACTCATCTCTCTCCTTTTTTATCTTTCCCTTTCTAGCTAATTACAAGTTCCTATAGTTCCTATTGCTCGTGCTAGTTGGTATGCCTTCATCTTTCCTAATCAAATTTATTTCTACCCCGACATCTTTTTGTACCAAAATCCAACTACACATACTTTATAAGTAATAACTCTATTATCATTCTAATAATAACTCTGTACTCTATAATCATAAATTATATTATATATTGTAACTATATAATGTTGATCCTTTCTTGGATGTAAGTGAAACATATGTGATATAAATGTACAGATACTAAGGGCTGTGGAATTTGTTCCCCAAAAAAATAAAAACAAAATACATGCATGTCTGTGTAATACTATAATAATAATACTATAAACCAGGCAGTAACTTGTCGGCCACTCGTTATTATACTAAACTAATTAAATGTGAATGTAAGTTTGTTTGTTACGCTTTCACGCCAAAACTACTCAACCGATTATCATGAAAATTTGTACACATATTCTTAGAAGTCTTTAAAATTACATTGTATTCTTTTATTAAAAAAAAGATATTTATTTAAAGCCTTCAACGCGAGCGAAGCGGCGGGCGAAAAGCTAGTAATCGGTAAACCAGAGGTGGCGGGCAATTTGAAACGCGCTTTATGCATTTTGTATGTATGCTTTTTCCTTCGTGCGGAACAATAAGTTCTTTTTATAAATTAATTACAGTAGTATGAATTGATTGTTTATCATTTACCGGTCCCTTGATTGTGCGCAGAACAATTTATGCGCAGAAATGCTCAACATGCGAACAATCATCGCTTAATAGCACTGGAAATTTTTCCCATACAATTATTTTGTTTACGCTTTTCTACGGCGTACATGGAATGGTACCAGCATTTTCACAACGCAATTGCTCTATGAGCCCAATATATATGAATTATTTATGATCAGTGGACGAAAAAATATTTGAATAAAAACCTATTCCCTCTTTTTGAGCCACTTTGAGATGGGACGGAAAGTCGAAGTCTTGCAAATTGTTCCACTATTTGGCAGTAGGCAAAATAAACAACGAGACAAACAAATTTTTTTAATAAATTATGAATGTTTAATGAATGTCCTTTAGACCATAAACAATTAGTGGGTATTTCTTGCAGTTGGACTTTGTACAAAGTCGTGATTGACTTGTGCAAGATAAGTAGATTTATTATAAAGTTATTTGCTGAACTGTGTTGTATAACGTAAAATTAGAATGCGTAGAACAATAACATTGTTCTCGTTTCAGTATAATGAAAACTTTTTGATCTACAATTATTAAATCAAAGTATTTTAAGTATTTTATAGCGTTTCATTTTGATTTTTAATTTTCCGACGATTCGATCCCTCGAGCTTTAATAGTCTAATGACTAAAAGCGTAACACCAGTTATACAAAAAAACAAAATGATTGACGATTGACACTGCAGCACACATTGGTTGAAGACTAAAGTATTCAATAATTGTTGCTTGATTCTTCAAAATTCTATGTCTATGTATGATGATGATGATCACTGGCCAGTTTGATATAAGGTCTGTTGATGATAAAATGTTTTTTCAAAATCAAAATGAAGCGAGACATCATTGGAAATTATAATAGCAACTAACACGAATGGACGTGTTAAATTGTATGGTCGTATAAAATAAAAGAAAATACCTCACGCTTTTCTTTTATATGCGTTAATTTTTTATTATTTATGTCGTTCCATTTACAATCAATTTACATAATTCAATTGTGTTTCGTGTCAGTTCACTGTTTATTATTAAGTTTCACGTTTGTTTGTTCGTAAAGTGATAATCGAGCTTTAATTTTGTAATCCAGTCATTTCCGTACGTAACGTATGGGTCGTTTATGTTAATTGAAATTTTTAAACATTTTTAGAAATAGTAACTGATGAATCAGCAAACAACGAATCATTCATATGAAAAAGATAATTTTAACAATACTTCTCTATTATTAAATTAAACCTTAGATGCCTTATTTCAAGATGAGTAAATTCCGTCCACCGTTTATGCTTTTTAACACGTGGCTACTGAACAATGTGCAAAATTCGAAACATTTTTAATAAACCTTTTTACGCTTCAGTTTTGTCACTGTCATTGATAATAAATGAAACACTATTGTTTGCTATGCATGTTTGAATTCTTCACGTGATTGACACTTGGGTAGTCGCTTCTCATTAAGCGCAATAAGAAATAAAGGTGACAGGTGGTATGTATACCACTCGATATCGGTAGAGAAAATAATAAATAATAATTTTTTTACAAAATGTCATCTAGTCCCTAACCAAGCAAATCTTGTATTATACGTACTAGGCAACTAATAAACGTACTAAAACATACTTTTCTTGTGTAAATAATAAAAGAAATTATTGGCAATATATAAATTAAACATATAAACACCCATAAATTAGGAAAATCCTATGTTCTAACACAAAATTTTTTTTCACCCGGTAGTGGGACCAAACCCACACCCTCTTGCGCAAGAGACAGGTTCGAAAATCGAAATGATTATTTTTAAAGCAAGAGTCGGAAAGATTTGAAAAAAAAATCATTCATTGGTATTCCAGTTGGTTCACACTGGTAGCTTCAGTTAAGAATCTAGAACATTCCTTGATGTAACGAACAGCTTTATATTAACATCATAAGTTACTGTCACGCGGTTTATTAAAATACAACCAGTCATTAGTGCAGAACATTAGGATTCGAACGCGACGTCATCGATGACATAACAAAACAGATTGATAAAAATTTTGCGCCGGCGTCGACAGAGATTACGATTTATTTCAACATCAAGAAATCATACATTAATCCTGAATGTGAAAACTGTACAGAACATAAAACATTATGCAACAATCGTAGTACGCCCAACTTTTGCTATCGCTCTCCGTTAATGAGCCGCCAGCGCATATCGAAGGAGCTGGCAAAGTTATTTTCTTAATCCGATTGTATTATCTAACGGCGCAGTGACACGATTTCAGTTGGCCGTCATCAATCATCGTAGTAGCAGCTGATAGCGCGCTCTTATCACAATTTGGGTTACCGGGTAAGACGTGGGACCTTGATAAATTTCTGTACAGTCTGAGTTACCAATCATGGTATAAGTACAATAGGCTACGTGGGTAGGCATATCAATGCCTATCCTATACACGTAGATATTTAGACGTTCAACGAGCGACGCGTTCCTCCGTATTTCCAACCGACTGCAAAAAAGGAGGAGGTTCTCCATTCGACTGTTTTTTGAAGTAAAACTTCTTTAGGCGCGACTAGGGAGTAACTCAGATTTTTTCTGACGGAAGTAACGTCACGAGTATATGTCATATTTTTTAAATATGACATATACTTATGACGTTACTAAATATTTAATCATTTCATAGTGATATATGCCGTCAATGCCAAAGAAGTTTTACTTCAATTGCGCGTAAAGGTGCGTGTACGCACACACATTTTTTTTTTGTTGTCTCATAACTTTCGACTGGATGAAACGATTTTGATGATTCTTTTTTTCTTCCATATAAATTTCGTTCGTATTGGATCTTGGGCTCCGGAGATACTTAGGGAACTCCTGAAAATCAATTATAAAATATAGAGCGAGATATTTGAAGACGGTTTTTGTATTTCGTTAATAAACATGTACTTGTTATGATGATAACTTCCGATGTGAAGAATGGCAGTACAAATTTCTCGAACACTTAATTTTACAGAAGAACAACGGTCTGGTAATAGAACGAACGTCAAGATTTTCCTTGAGGTCATCGGCCGCTTAGCTCAGTTGGTAAAGCGTCTGGAGGCGAAACCATTAGAGGCCGGTTCGAATCCCACAGCGCCGAAAGTTTTAGTTCTTTTACCTACAAAAGTTTACAATTCAAAACCGTCTGATAGTTAAACGAATTTTGTTCGAACATCTAATCATTAAATGGAGAAGGCGAGGATTGACCAGTACTTGATTACCATTATTAGAACCTTAAACATAGAATGAAAAATGTTTCAGACGAAGTAGATCGCAAAGTAATAGTATATCCAAATCTACGTAGATGTAAAACTGGAGAAAAGTGTCGAATAGTTATAAGTAAATGAAGGTCTATCTTTTATAATCTCCGCTTTCCCGGGGCGAGTAGCTTTCTCTTTTTTCGCCTTAAAAATAGTAGCAGCTCGATTAAAGTAACAGCCTATACATGTCCCACTACTGGGCAAAGACCTATACAGCGGGTATCACGGCATAGCCCACCACGCGGCCCCACTGCGGATTGGCGGACTTCACATATCATCGAAATAAATATTTGTTTTTGTTATTATTTCGAAAATATGCAGGTTTCCTCACGATGTTTTCCTTCACCGCGGAGCACGTGATAAGACAGCACTTAAAGTTAAAAACTTCATTGGTACCGGCACCGGGGATTGAACTCAGGTTGCTTGAGTATATTGAATTAAAGGCGAGCGCCCAGACACTGAGCTATCACGGCTACGACACGGAGCAGCTCGATTAAGATGAATAAATCTGATCTGAATCTTTAATGCGGTGGTGTTTTACTCATATTCAATATTCTCTTTATCTCCTAACAACTCAATCATTAGTTATTTACATTAAACACTCAATTATGAATATGTATATGAGCAATACTCTTTAAGTAGATGTGACAAATCTTCTGTACATAAAACTTCTACTGCTCTCTTTGTATTTTAAGATACTTTGTATCTTGATTATCTCGACAGTTGTTTAATTGTTTAATAATTGTTTGCCTTTGCCACCTATGTCCTATCCTATACACATATTATGCTAAGGTGAACAATTTCAATTGTAATCACTATCCTAGATAGTGAGGTAATAGGCCCATACTTTCACCGTTACTCGGCACACCTGTTTCGTTTTTGTTAATAAATATTTTTTTACTCTTTTTTTCTTAAACAGCTATGCTTTTCGTCAAGTCTGTTTAAAAAGATATGCTAATGCAGCAAATACATAAGTACAGTTTGAGAACCTGCTCCGTTTTAGAAAACGGTTGCAAAATGTGTATTACTAATTTACCATTATAACTGTTGTTTTAAGTAACACACGAAATTGATCAATCTGTAACTCACGAAAAGTGTCTTTGTTTTGTCTAACAGGGTTGCATGCGGTGGCAACGCTGGCAACCTACCACCAGCCGATCACGATGACGAACTCACGAGTCTCAGCTGGTTGCAGGATCGAAATCTACTTAGAGGTTAGTTGCGGCCCTTGAACACCATACCACAGATTGGAGTGGGTACGGATTTATTAGGATTTGAATAATTCAATGGACTGGCGGAGGACACGTCATCGCATACGAAACTAAAAGCAGCATTGAACAAATTTTTAGAAGAACATTTATCACCGTTTAACTCTAAAATATTCCCTCAAAGGTACCATCATATTGATCTTTTAACTGGAACAATTTTCCGATAACTCATCCGTTTTTAGATTAACTCAACATACGAAAAATCAGTACTTATCATTTCCTCTAACATGACAATCAAATTTGATAGATAGATAGATACAGTCTTTATTTGTATAAACATGGTACATTCTTGCAACCAATACATTGGATATACAGGGTGGCTTTTCTAAGTGTATCCATTTTTTTATTAAATTCTAGACATAAAAAATGATAAATATGTAAAATCACTCGTAAGTAATTAATTACATTCATTTGAACTTATCTCAAAAAGTGCGTGATTTATACGCAACTCATTTATTTTACGTGCGATCATTCATAACTAACACGCACACAAGTTCGTGCACAGTAAAATTTAGGTATTTATGAATGACTACCGCAATGTCAACACGTTCTGTTTTTTAGGGAATAGAATGGCATTTTTTTTGGAAAAAAAACTTTGTTTTTTATTAAAATAACGTTTATACTACCGAGTCTGAACCTCCTGTGTAAATTTGGACACTTCTCAAAAAATCTCCCTGTAGAAAAAGTGTTATCAACTAGTGAATAGAGATGGTGCAAAGGGAACGTTTTTAAATGCTATTACAATTTATTATTATCAAATATCAATAAAACTCTACTCTTATTGAAAACTAATAACGCTGTGTTTGTTATTGCACAATAACTTAGACGTGGAATAATGTTATAATAAAATACAGTCTTCTCCATTCCAGGCATCAACCTCACAAAGAATGACATTGAAGACACGAAGACGATCACAAGTCAAGTCGTAGTGAAGGTAACGTTTCTATTTGATTTTATCAACGAAATCTCCGTCACGTTATCATTTATCACAGTACAAGATTACTCAACTGTGAATAGTTACGTTTATGAATAATTTATCTCTAGGAATTCCGAATTTCTGTAGTTAATGAGTTAGTATCTAATCTATTAGATCTATAAAGTTCTAATAATAGTATTAATTATTTTTTCCTTCGCTGTCGACCTCTATTAATTCACATTTTCATTGTGGATTTTCTATCTAATAACAAACTTCTCCTAATACAATAAATATTGAACACACATTGCTGTAATCTTCAAAACTTGTTACATTGTTCTTTTGAATAATTAGAAATTTTCGCGCCAATTTTAAATTACTTCTTTCATGTTTACGAGATATACAAAAGGAAGCAAAATGACTAAAGATTGAAGTAACAATCGATAGATATTAACGCAGGGAATCGACACAGATTGAAAACAAAATGGTTGTATGATAAGATGAAGACAATAAGAATTAGAAAAAATCTTTTGGTAGATGTTGGTATTATCGTGTGCTCTCCAAATGTGTTTGTTCCCTGTGTTAATTTTGGTCTTCTTCGATTTCTTTAGTATATTCTGATATCGTCTAACGTCGTATGACATATTGCGGCTACGCGGACACAAAAAAATCAATGCTTGGTAATAATGTTTACCTAATCAACATGACTAATGAGAATTTTTCACAAGACTATCAAAATCGCCTGTCTCGTATATTAACGTTTTATTATATAAAGTAAACGCGATCTTTGTATAACTACGAACAAAAGTAATTCGCGACAAGATTCTGCGTCACAAACCAAAGTGTAGAACGCAGTCTCTGAAGGCGTATTTACTCAAGTGCACATAGCTAGGTTCAATGTCACCCACCTTTAATGGAGGACGGAAACTTAGCAAGCGACTCCGTAACCCTTTCGTTTTAATTAAACCTTTCGTATTTGTTTCGTGTCTGAAGTTAAACGTTCGTACTGCAATTTTTTTTATGAAAACCATTTATGCTGACGGTGTTTGGGTTGTAGGAGCACAGTAGAATTCAGGACGAACGAGTCTCCTACTTTGAGAACTCTCATAAATGTTTAATATAAAGATTTAAAGGTTATTGACCAGCCATTTTAGTTTCGATGGTGATAAATTAGATAAAAATATCATGTACGTGTTTGCAAACAATCTTTGTTACTATTTTTGTATCATTGTATAATCCATGAAATAGGTTCAGACATTTGTTTAAGCAACCAATCAACATTATCTTACTATTTTCATGTACAGTTCAAAAATTTATAAACAAGACAATAGTAAAGACACTTGGTTAGAGTTAGGCAATATATGGACGCATAGCTATGTCCTTTTAATGTATCTATCTTTTTCATACTTTCAAACAAATAGAAAACAATATACCATTTTGTGAGACAACATAATCTTGTCATGCTTTTATACTTATTATCATATTTTTTTACTTTGATTAGCACTTGCCATCTACTTTTCACAATGTCAAGGGTTGAGGAAGATAATGTCACTTGGCAGTAAGTGCACCCATTATAGCCCTTAGCATAGGGTTTAGCAATGAAGTGTAACTAGTAGTACTAATACTAATTTAATATTTTATGTTAGGCATATAAGTAATGACATTTCCAAATTTTAATGACTGCTTTTTTTATGTTATAATAAATGCAGCTACCTAAACTCTGGACCACCACATAATGTTGACCGGCAGATAATGCTAATGGCATTAACGGCCGGTTTCTGAAACACTGGTCATCGTAGATGTTAACTAATATGCTGTCAAATGGCTTTTCAAATGTCATTTGAGTTGCCGAAAGGAGTGATCAATTCAAAGTGTTTAACCATCCTATTGGCAACTTAATAACATTTGACAGCTGATAGTTAACTTATTTCTCTTATTATATCCGTGCATAAAGAGTAAATGAATAAATATAGAAAGAACAATTCGCTATAACGATACCGATCTTCCACTCTAGCAAACGGAGGCGTCGAAGACCCCCCCTCCCGCTCCGCGTGTGCCCTCACCCCCGCGCACGCCGTGCAAGGCGCCCCCCTCCCCGCCCCCCGCCACCGCCCACACAAAGCCCCCCTACTCTTTCTCCTGCCTCATCTTCATGGCGATAGAAGCCGCCCCCGCGCGCGCACTCCCCGTCAAGGAGATATACGCGTGGATCATCCGCCACTTCCCATACTTCAAGCACGCCCCACAGGGCTGGAAGAACAGCGTGAGGCACAACCTCTCGCTCAACAAGTGCTTCCACAAGGTTAGTTGTGAAATATCAATATTTTTTTTATGTCAGAAAGTGGCAAATGAGCTGGCGGTTCACCTGATGTTAGGTGATAACCGCCACCCATGGACAATACAACAACTCAGAAGTTGCAGATGCGTTACCAGCTTTGAAAAATGTCAGGCTCCGGCTACCTCACTCACCAGACGAAACGCGAAAGTCTTATGCTTCCAGTCGGTCTTCTATGAGGCCATGGTACTTGTCCCGAAGACCCTGCCCATTATTGCAACAGCCGAAACGGCTGCATGACTCTACCGCAGTGAAAATTTTAATTTATCTTTTAAATATAGTATTAAGAGCCTCAATTATCGTGTAACCTCTGACCAAACTCTTTGTCTGACATTATATGCACTCTATATGCTATGTTTATACAGCCGACTGTCCACATAGCGTCCTCTTCAAACCCTGTACTTGTAATCAAATCAGCTGTTAGAATTAATTTGTTAATGTGAATTTTATTAGCATGTAGCTTAATTGTGGATATTTATTCACAGGTAGCGGCAGCCCCTGGACTCGGCAAGGGCTCCCTGTGGACGGTTGACCCGCAGCACCGCTCCACCTTACTACAGGTCAGATTTTATGCCAAATAAAAAAAAAAACCGTGTATGTGTCCCGTGTCTACTTATGTACAACACTTAAGAATTAATACTTTAATGCAGTTTTGGTAACACAATGACGTTAAAAGCGAGAGTCAGTGACGCACATCAAAAACTCTTTAAATTTTTCGCAAACGCGCCAAAAGAAGTATGTACAACTTTTTCATCCGTGTGATGTGCGTGTGCGTGTGTGCGTGCAGGCGTTCGGCAGGCAGCCGGTGCCGCCGCTGGAGTCGGAGCCGGAGCCGGCGGGCGGCAAAAACGCGCCCGATCCGCAGCTGTTCCCGTACCTCGCGCGCCGGCTGGCGGCGGACGCGCGCGCCGAGCCGGCCCCGGGGGCGGACGAGTACCTCGCCGCCGCCACCGTGCTCGCTATGAAGTACGGGCCCGCCGTGCTCGACCAGGTCGGTGCCCGTGTGCGTGGGGAAAGTGCGCGTGTGCGTGTGGAACGCATTCCGTTCCGGAGTAGATGTTTCTGTTTGTGTGCGTGAAAAAATTACGGGGCTGTCTCGTGTGCGTGTGAGGGGCGCGATGAGTTCTCTAGCAGATCGGCGCTGTGTGTATTTGTGTGCGTGAGAAAATGTCCAGTCGTGCGTGTGTGAGGGACACGTACTGTTCTCTAGCAGTTCGGTGTTGTGCGTTGTGTGTGTAGAGCGTTGTGTGGGAGCGCGTTCTGTTCTGTAACAGGTCGGCGCTGTGTGTATTTGTGTGCGTGAGGAAAGCACGGGCCAGTCGTGCCTGTGTGAGGGGCACGTACTGTTCGTTAGTAGATCGGCACTGTGTGTAGTGTGTGCGTGTGAAAAGTGCAGCCCTGCTCGATCAGGTCGATGGGCGCATGCAATCTGTTATCTAACAACGGTGTTGTCTATGTGTGCGTGATAACACTTAGGCAGTGTATGCTCGTGAGTCGCCAGTGCCGAAAATATTGCAACGGCTCCATGCAATGTGCAAGAGTCACGATTCCGATCTTTCGATTAGGTCGATAGGGTATTTGTGAGTACAATACCGTTAATTTCATCCTTTTGAGCCTCACTACGTGCGTGTGACTGACAGTAAATACCGCAAAGCACCCGGAGCCATAGTTATGTGCCACCGTGCACGGATGTGTATTCGTGACGCTAATCAGCCAGATTCAGCTCAATGGGCGTGTGCGTCTTAATTCCCAGTCAACTCTCAACAACCGCAACGACCGACTCGAATGTTCCGTGTCGACTGCACGCACACGTAACGCGTTCGAGCGAACGTGCCTTATCGCGTCGCGCTAAAGTTCATTTTCGCACAGCTGCCGCCGGCCGCGCACCTGGTGATATCGCGATGCGCCCGCGACGAGCACTCGTACAGCGGCGGCTGCGAGGAGAGGCGCACCGCCGAGGCGCTGCTCAACCTGGCCGGCGTGCGCTCCGAGCCGGCGCCGAGCTAGCGGCTCTAGTGCGCACCAACCGCCGGCGGCTAGAGGGCGCCACCACGGTAAAGGGGACGCGGGGGGAGGGGGGGACACCCGCACTGCTCCCCCGGCGTCCCCTTCTTCCTTCTCTCCTCCCTCCCCCTCCCCATCCTTCGTTCCTTCCTTTCGTATCGAGCGACAAGTTCACTTTTGTCTGTAGACGACTCTAACGTTCAAGTCCGTGAATCTTCGTTCAAACGCCTCGGTTCTTCTGCGATGGGTTTCGCGTGCCCGCTAAACGTCGCCACGGGCGGCACTGTCTCGATTCAAGTAGAAATCGATTGGACGGTCTCGATTTTTACGTTTGCACTGCTCAACGTTTGTTTAGGACGGCCGTCGGAGTTTTAGTTACCTCGGTGAAACGATAGGGCGATTTCTTAGATTAGACCGTTTCACCTTCGCAGCGTGGGCATAGCCTCGTTGGAGCACGCGTTCTTAGAACGCGATATTAACTGGAATATTTCGGCGCTTGACACAAAACAGTGTGGGGTGTTTGACTGTGAATAGAAAAAAAAAAACGTTTACCATGCTCTAGTCCAATAAAGACAATGCCGTTTTTGTTTTTTTTTTTTGTTTAATATTTTGGGTAGCGTGTACGCCGACGTCTTTTATAATAATAATTATAATTATACATAATCCTATTGTTGGAAATATATCATCCTGTAAAAATATACAAAAGATTTGCTCGTTAGCTATTCTACCAATTTCCGTTAGTTTCCTTCCATACGAACATCACATGTTTCGCTCTATAAGATCGAATATGCGATAAATTTGGACAAGAATAGCTACTTCAAGAGTTATCTAACATTCTTCTGTCACTGAGACCTAAGACTACTTTTTTGTTTTAAAACGCTGATTTTTCGGTAAATGAATTTCAAACAGAGCAGTAAAAGATAACATGAAGTTATATTGGGTAAAATTACACAATTTCAATGCAATCTATAATATCAGTCAATATACAAATGATCAGACGGCTTAAAACGCAAAGTCAATGTTACATTAATAAAGATAGAAACTTCATAGTGATAGATGTGATAATACTTAGTATGAATTATTGTTAAACACAACCCAATGGGGTACAGTTGGACAGGCTCTTGTGCGTTTAGTATCCCAAATGCTGCTTATTCAGACATTCATAATACTGTTAAGTATACCTTGTAGTAAGTGTAAACCGCCGGTGTTTCTAAATTTCCGTAGTTGAATTATCTATGGCGTGTATAACCAGTATGACTCCTCACTACCATATCCACCAGATGGTTTTCAAACGGCAGGAACGTTACACACTATATAGTCTTAAAGCTATTCATAGAAATGTAAATCATTTCGCTTTGTATACCTAATGATATATAAATGTTGGGAAAGGTGGTAACTTTAAAGGAAATTATTCTAAACTGAGCAATATATAGGGGTAAACGTTTCGATTGTATGCGTGATCTGAACGCTATTATATATACATAATATACATCGTATACAGGGCGATCTAAATATATTTTATCTAACCACTACCTTGTGTTAAAGAAAAAGTGATAAATCTTATATAAAATGTAATTAATTATATATTTAATCTTTGTGAATGCACTAGCTATAAGCAAAAGATATTTTGTGTTCATGGACCTTGTGATTTAAGACACAATCACTTTCTAACTTAAACTTAAGTATTTATAAAGTTCTTCGTAAGTAACAATCGTAATAACTTGCTTTATTTTATGCTTGCTCCACGCACTCATGCTAACGTCGAAACCGTAGGTTCAGAAAAAACACTCTGGCTTATAAGTCACCTGTACAAAGTGCAAATTAAAAACCAAATTGTGATCATACAACCTTACATCCTATTACAGACCAGTGTATTGATTTATTGTTTCATTATTTATCAAACCAATGAAATGAACAGAACATTTGATAAATATTATATAAATAATTTCAATAGAATATGGAACTTTTTCTTGGTCACATTTTAACATTGCTATTTTAAATTTATTAATTATTTTAATCATGTATAATTTGAAGTAGATGAAGACTTGAAAGATAGAAACTATCATTTGTGTGCTTTCATTGCTTTGTCTTAAGAAAAAGTTCATTTAAACCATTATAATATGCATTGGTACATTAATGTACTGTACTGTACTATTGTAATGTAATGTACTATTAATTTTTCCGATTATTAACGATAATATTGTTTAAATAATAGCAAAGTTGACCAGTTTGAAATCAAGCATCAAATTGGTTTTCTTAACATATTATATTCCAATTAATCAACATTGGGTAATATTGGATTGTGCTTATATATAATATTTTACAAAAAACATTTGACTAATACACTTTCGAAACCTCTATAAGGTGTATGTATTTAATTCTTGCTTCTATCAAACAAAAGTAACTTTTTAAAGTATCTTAACACATGCATTATGCATAATCAAGATACAGCCTTCATTAGTACACCAATTAGATAACTATGTATTAAATTTAATTTAGAATAATGTGTCGTATACAAATTGATAAGTGTGTGTAATGGATACTACCGGAAATTAACTTGAGACTGCTTGGACAATAATGCAAGAATGTACAAACTGACGTGAAACAACCATGATAGAGTTAATTATTATATTAAAAATTGCTTGATTATCTTTGCTTTAACAATTAATCTGTTTTAAAATGACTTTAATTGATTGAATGTTTTTTGTACAAAAAAAGAAAATTGAAATCTTACTGTGTATAATATCATTGATCTCTTATGATTGTTTTTTTTTTTTCAATAATAAAAGTACTTATATTGCTTATTATTTACGCTGCATTCAGCAACCGTTGGGACTCTGTTATTATTCAAGTAGTCCTAAGTTATTTTCCGTGAGTGATGCCGAAATAATGCCTAATCAATAATTATTTACTTTTTGACATAGTTCAATTAACAACAGAGACGAAAATTTAAATTAGACGCAAAAATGCCAACTGAAACAGATGTACAAAAAAAAATATTTTTTTTTTTATAATCAATCCTTATAAAAAAGTTTTTGTGTATCAACTGTAGGTATCTACATGTACCAGACTGAAACTATATGACTGATTCCAGATGAAGCAATATTATTTGTTAGAGTAAATTATTTTAAGGGCTTATGTCCTATGAAATTTATGTTCATTGTATTTATTTCTATCAAAATATACATATAAAGGTGACTTAATAATGTGGCATAATTATATTATGCCTCCATTTGCAATTATTTGCAAATTTCGTATCACTAGACAGAAAAACTTGTGTGCCAAATGTTAAATAACACTAATCTTTGTACTGTGTAACAAGCGAATCCAAATAATAGATACCAGTAATGTATGTAATTTATATGATTCATAATATATATGTTGTAACACATAGTTATATTAGACGTAAGTGATATTATAGCAATGTAATTCAATTGCTAACTATTTAAATACATTTTTGCTGTATTTAGGAGCGTCTTCCATCTTAATCATATGTATTGTTTTCTCTTAGATAGCTTCGGGTACGGGGAAAAGTCGATGCGGATCACTTACATCCTTGCCAATTATCGCGCGTATTTTTAGTTGTAAATGCGCCAGATTCCAATAGAGTTTTACAATTTGTCAGTTTTGGTCAGTGACATTAATTTTAAATTTTATGACTACTCTAATCATTGTGTATATGTTCTGAGTGTGTGTGTGTGTGTGTGCAGTTTGATTTTTTACTCTTAATTTAATAGTAAAAATAATGACGTCACAGGTGGTTGCCGTCAATATGACATGACCGTATCGTTTTTTTCCCCGTACAGCGATCTCACTAGCCTTTCTTTCGGTGTTAATAATATATGATAATATGTAGATAAAAATTTACAGCAATAATTAGTACCTAATTGTAGTACTTCGCTGGGTAGATGCTACGTGTATGATTATGTGTGATACATTGCGATTTTATTTTCTAAGTTATGTCTTTGAATTGAATTTTGTAACCTCGAACAGCTTTTGGCTCAGCTGCGTAGGCCGCGCACTGAACACGACGAAGTTGTATATGGTGCGTCAGGCTTGTCACTAAGTCTTTTATCCCTTACAAAGTACCTTTCTAACGAAGTTATATCGAAATGATATTAAAATTGTTGCGGCTCATACATTATTATTATGGCGGAAATTATTTTTAAACTTGTTTTATTTATTTCCTAGGTTACGTGATGCGGATTCTTAGTGTCGGGCTCGGTTTGTGAAACGATTCTTGAGCGAATTTTTTTTAATCCGTTTTTAAAAAAAAAAACAAGCGGGTGTTATTTTGAATGCGTTCAAATTATGATTTAGTTAAGCTTGTTGGTTTTCTTCTACCACGAACACTCATACCCATCGGCAAATTACAACACAGCTGTGAGGGTACAAGCGGTATTTTTAAGTAAATTAATTATTATTATTGTTACTGTTGATACATTCTCCGGCTAAAGAACGTCACCACTTTTTATTAATATTATTGCTATTGTTGAGAGTTATTGCCAAATTTTTATTTGTCCTAAAATCTTTTGTCTTTGTACATATCCATTAAATAAATTATGTACTGAGAATCATCATGTGTTTCAATTTCACCATCAATCCAGCGTTAACATCAAGGAAGTCAGTAAGTGTTACTAACTTGAACTATTTCTATGGATTTAACGCGTTTATTCTTAATTTTGTTTACCGACGTTTTGAATCCTATTCATGTATTTACACATCTGTATATGTTCATGGTCACGGGAGAGATCGAGGCGTTGGACGTCTGAATGCCAAACATGCAACGCCTGAGAAATTAACGAGATTTCTTAAGGAAAGTTTTACTTTTGCAATAAAGGTAAAAATACAAAAAAAAACACAAACTTGAACCATACAGTCATTTACTTTCGCATTTATTTTGTCATAATGAATATTACAAATGAACAAACAATAGTTTTATAATTAGAACAGAAGACCAAAGGTTTAAGGCCTCTGCTATTAGTGATCTACAATTGAAACAACACGCTGAAGTAAGTCCTGTTAAAATGTCAATAAACAACAACAGATGGTCCTCAACGGTTCTCCCATGTCCTACAAAACAACCTAAAGGAAATTAAATGTTTTATTTTTGCTCTGCGCTGTTCATAGGCGCCTAAGAGAAGTATATTTGCCGTGCTTCGGATGGTGACTGTTCCATTGGACAGTAGGGGCACTTCAACCTGTAATGAAAGAAAATTTATATTAGGTACAAAATCAAAACAAAATCACGTCAAGACCGTAATGGCTGACATAGGAAACTACTTATTAGGCGATTCTTTTTCTTTCCATCCTTGCAACATTTCATATTGTTTGCTTGAACACTACCAAGGTCTAATACGTTAAATGAGTTTGAACCCGAAGCGTTACCAACATTTTAACATTGCTATGCTTACAAATACTTCTCTCCGAGGATCTTATCCATTCAGGCAACAACAGAAACGGCTGTACAATATATTGACGTCCGGTTTCTGAAACACTGATCATAGTAGAAATTATCTAATCAGCTCTCAAATGGCTTTTTAATTAAATCGTTCTCATCATTCGGAAGATCATTCTGATTCCGTGTAATTAAAAAATTTGTAGAGAAAAGTTTTTTGATTTAAACCTACGTCCTTTGGGATACGCTGTTCGCGCCCGCCTGGAGTCACACAAACCCACTGCGGAAGAGCATACTTCACATTCCGAAATATACGTATTTTTATTATTATTTCAAAAATATCCGAGTTTCCTCACGATGTTTTCCCTTACCGCTGAGCACGCAATAAGTCTGCACTTAAAATTAACAATTTCATCGGCGGCGGCACTGAGCTATCACGGCTCTAAGGTAAATAGTAGGTATTGGTTTCGTCGTGGGGGCATCGATTCCTACACGCGACAATTATTTATGTGAACAACAACAGAAAATTGTTTTACATCTGTTTGTTTGAAATTTATGTTTGTAAAAAGTTCTTGCAGTAATGGATAATGTTTTTTTTATTTCTTTCTTTGGTCTGCTTAACTGAATACCATCTAGCATGATTACAAAAGAAATATACACAGAAAAATATTTATGCATTTATAAATAGCATACATAGGCGAAACATAATACACCACTACATAGTATAAAACAAAGCCGTTCCGCTGGCTGTCTGTCCCTATGTATGCTTAGATCTTTAAAACTACGCAATGGATCTTGATGCGGTTTCTTTTACTAGATATGAGTGATTGAAGTCCTCTTCATAGGTTTCTATGTATAATAGATTGCATACGTGCGAAGCAGGGGCGGTTAACTAGTTAGGTATAAAGGTTATATTAAATAAAAAAATAATTCTAAAGTAAGGGCACTTTAAAAAAAGAAAAAGTAACGGTACTCACTTGACGCCCATTGCGAGCTTGTTGAGCGCGTCCCTGGAGATGACGTGGCCGCAGAGGAGCCGCATGGGCGGGTTCTGCTCGGAGGACTGCTGCCGCAGGATCGGGCATGCGAACACCGAGTGGTGGCCGCCGCACTCCTCGCCCAGGTCCACCTGCAGCATCGCCTGCGAGTCCAAACGACGCCAGTGGCAACCCTGAAGTCGACTACGCGTCCATTTCGACCAGCCCTGTGGCCTGCGACGCATAGAATAGGGCATCGCCTGCGAGTCCAAACGACGCCAGTGGCAACCCTGAAGTCGACTACGCGTCCATTTCGACCAGCCCTGTGGTCTGCGACGCATAGAATAGGGCATCGCCTGCGAGTCCAAACGACGCCAGTGGCAACCCTGAAGTCGACTACGCGTCCATTTCGACCAGCCCTGTGGTCTGTGACGCATAGAATAGGGCATCGCCTGCGAGTCCAAACGACGCCAGTGGCAACCCTGAAGTCGACTACGCGTCCATTTCGACCAGCCCTGTGGTCTGTGACGCATAGAATAGGGCATCGCACGAATTGCACGAATGGGCAGGCTCGTCCGGGTAAGTACCACGACCTCGCAGGAGACCGGCGTGCGATCGCGAGCTGTGCACGCGACTGTACGGCGATCGCGGCTGTGCACGCGACTGTACGGCGATCGCGAGCTGTGCACGCGACTGTACGGCGATCGCGGCTGTGCACGCGACTGTACGGCGATCGCGGCTGTGCACGCGACTGTACGGCGATCGCGGCTGTGCACGCGACTGTACGGCGATCGCGGCTGTGCACGCGACTGTACGGCGATCGCGGCTGTGCACGCGACTGTACGGCGAGCGCGCGCTGGGCACGCGGCTGTACGGCGATCGCGGGCTGTGCACGCGACTGTACGGCGATCGCGGGCTGTGCACGCGACTGTACGGCGATCGCGGCTGTGCACGCGACTGTACGGCGATCGCGGGCTGTGCACGCGACTGTACGGCGGTCGCGGCTGTGCACGCGACTGTACGGCGATCGCGGCTGTGCACGCGACTGTACGGCGATTGCGAGTTGTGCACGCGACTGTACGGCGATCGCGGGCTGTGCACGCGACTGTACGGCGATCGCGAGCTGTGCACGCGACTGTACCGCGATCGCGTGCTGTGCACGCGACTGTTCCGCGATCGCGGGCTGTGCGCGCGCCTGTGCGGCGATCGCGGGCTGTGCACGCGACTGTACGGCGGTCGCGGCTGTGCACGCGACTGTACGGCGATCGCGGCTGTGCACGCGACTGTACGGCGATCGCGGCTGTGCACGCGACTGTACGGCGATCGCGAGCTGTGCACGCGACTGTACGGCGATCGAGCTGTGCACCGAATGTACCGCGATCGCGGGCTGTGCACGGACTGTACCCGCGATTCGGGGCCGGCTGTGCACGGCGACTGTACGGCGATCGCGGCGTGCACGCGACTGTACGGCTGATTCGCGCGATCTTTGCCACGCGACGGTACCGCGATTCGGCTGTACGGCGATCGCGAGCTGTGCACGCGACTGTACGGCGATCGCGGGCTGTGCACGCGACTGTACCGCGATCGCGGGCTGTGCACGCGACTGTACGGCGATTGCGAGTGTGCACGCGACTGTACGGCGATCGCGGGCTGTGCACGCGACTGTACGGCGATCGCGAGTTGTGCACGCGACTGTACGGCGATCGCGGGCTGTGCACGCGACTGTACGGCGATCGCGGGCTGTGCACGCGACTGTACGGCGATCGCGAGCTGTGCACGCGACTGTACGGCGATCGCGGGCTGTGCACGCGACTGTACGGCGATCGCGAATTGTGCACGCGACTGTACCATCATCGATTGTGATTGTCCGCGTTTTTAATCCTTAAGAGGCGGTGACAATACGTGAGTGGTTGATGATACGTTGCCAACGTTAAGTAACAGAGAGCCCCGGTTACCACACTCACCGGACAAAATTCAAAACTATTATACTTCAACTTCCCGCCCGTCTTGTGTGATTTTGTACTTCCACGAATGAGTCTGCTCGTTTGCGCAATCCTATTCGTAAACTAAAACAGCTGATTGTGAGATAGTGAGGATTTGAAAGCAACTGTTCACGATCCGGTCCCACCACCGGTTCCCCACGCCTGTCCACGGAGCGACAGCAAACAGAAGCTGCGGCCTAGTCACCCCTTTCGGTCGTTCACCTTGAGCGTGTGGACGGTGTGCAGCGCGAAGGGCAGCGGCGAGTGCTGCAGCTGGTGGGCGCGCCGCTGGGCCCAGTCCAGGGCGGGCGCCGGGTCGCCGTCGGCGAGCGAGGCGGCGCAGCGCTGGAGCACGGCGAACGCACACGTGCGCTCCACTGGGCCGACGCGCGCCTCCGCTACGAACACGTCGCCCGCCTCCTCAAGGCCCTGGACGGCGCAAGTTCAAGATGTCAAGGGCGCGAACACCCCGCTTGTTGCCACCAACGCCAGGACAACCCCGAGGGGCGTTTGGACTTTTTTTTCTTTTTTTACTGCGGTAGGGCCACGCAGCAGCATCGACTGTCGCACGAATAGGCAGGCTCGTCTGGGTAAGTACCGCGACCTCATAGAAGACCGGCGTAAAGTGGAAGTATGGCAAATGCTTATAATACTTTCGCGTTTTGTCTGGTGAGTGAGGTAGCCGGAGCCCAATTTTCAAAAGGTTGTCAATGTATATGTAACCCTCGGGTATAGAATCAGTCCAATCCGAGGTCCGTTTGAGGCGAGGTCAGGGACGCGACGAATACGACCCCCACGCCACGCCCTGGGAAACGCCTCGGTCCACTCCGATAAGTCCAATTCGAGGTCTATTTGAGGCGATATAAAGGGCGCGATGTCGCTTCTTCCGTCCCTTCCATTAACTGGACAACGCCCGTTCCGCTCCGATAAGTCCAGTTCGAGGTCTATTTGAGGCGATATAAAGGGCGCGATGTCGCTTCTTCCGTCCCTTCCATTAACTGGACAACGCCCGTTCCGCTCCGATAAGTCCAGTTCGAGGCCCGTCCGAGGCGGAAGGCGCCACGGACGTCATCAATACGATATATCCAATGTTACATTGTGAAAAAGTGAGCACTTTCGAAAGTCTTTCAGCAAACATTGTCAGCTTTTAATTATTTTTTCAATGTTAGTCTCTTCTTAAATCTTGTATGAACTAATGTTTTTGCTTTCAGTCCCGAGACTATTAAAACTTCATCTTAAAGCTTCATCTGACGCAGAACCGGTGGGCTAGCCAGAACCCACGGGTTTGGGCCCTCCGCTGTGGGTAGGGCCACGCATGTGCTCATGCGTGCGTTTAACTATGGTATGTCATCTAAGGGCAATCGAGGTCGTGGTTCGGACCGAAACCCCGATGGCCGTCGACTGTGCAATTAGCTAATCGGTGGCTGGGGGCGGTGAGAACCGCCCCGGAACGCGTGTGTTGGTCTCGCCGTGCTCGGAGGCGAGGGCGAACTAGTGTGTTTGTTGTTGCAATAACTGTGGGTGTAGTGTTATCCGGCGGGACCCCCGGCGGTGGGTCCGAGTGTTAGTCTCAGCACTCAAGATGTAACTTAAAATGATGAAAGATTTCTTCACTGCTGCCAGTATTCAAACTTGCATTATCAATTTGTGACACCATTTTAAATGGTCTTATACTTTGAGAATTTATTATTTTCTTACTGTTTGTGATAATATTATTAATGTGTATTAACATTTAACTATAATGTAAATGCTAATGTAAGATGATTAAATAGTATTGATAATATGGCCCAGAATTTATCAATGTTTTGAGACCATTACAAAGCGATAAACTTTTCTTAGGACATAAAATTGTGCATAGATGTACTAGCTACTTCAGTTTATATCATAAGGACTTTCATAAGTTTGTGTAATTAATAAAGCATAACAGTACCTGTCTATATAAATGCTGAGCAATTGCCTGCTCCATAATTGGTCGATTTGTGTCAGAACAAAATGACTCGGCCTTTGGCGCCACTGATGTGTAATCCGAGACAAAATGCCGATCGATCGACTTACCAACCCGAGAAACGGTTGCGTGTAGTTCCCGATGTTCTGAAATTATTAAAAGTTATGCCCAAATCTGAAATTCTTAATATAATAATCTGAAATTAACACTGTTTCAGTTGTATTAATATTTAACAAAATTTTTAACTACTGAATATGTTTAATAGTACTCCAATCATTTGATTGTTAGCTAAACATAAGTTAATTGTTAAACTATAAGTAGAGTACTTATAGTTTAACTAACAATTTAATAGTCTAAAATATGTATCATGTACATAATAATTTTTATAAATCTCAAATATTTACCAGTTGACATTTCAAAAACCTCCTTCTTTAAACTCTCTGCAAAATCACATAACACCAGAGTCTGCTCATAGCATAAGGTTGAGTCAGGGGGCTCTGAAATAAATATTAATAATAATAATAATAAATCATTTAATAATTAGTAATAATAAATAAGAAATCATTTATTTAACCAGCAAGAACATAGGATATACAAAATACTTAGAAACTTAGAACTAGATTGCTGTTGAGACATTTCGAAAAACAACGAAAAACAATACCAAAAAAACCTATTTGATTATTAAACCTAAACCTATTATATATAACTATTTGACTATATATAACTATATGACTATTGTAAAAAACTATTTGACATAATACAGAAATTTTGCCTCGGTTAGAGATATTGTTTTAAAGGTATATAAAACATATAGAATTTTGATATAGATAAACATATATAAATAAGATAAATATATATAGAAAAACAATTATGTATATTATAGGTCTGTTATGTGTATTTATAATGATCTTGCAATAAATTTTTCTGTATCATCGTACAAGACAGTAAGAAGCCAGTCTAGGAGAATCATTTTGGCTTGTCTCACAGTACACTTTTTTATATCACAAACCTTTACAACTTTGTTATAGATAGAGTTAGATGAGAAAGGGCTAAATCGTCTGGCGAAAGAAGTTTTAACAGGTGCAACAGACAGACGGAACACATGGCTCTTCAACATTTCGGTATAGATTTCCGAGTTTGTGACATGTGGATTATTAAACATGTTCTAAGAATATACAATTGCCAAACACTCAAAACACCCGATAGAGATCAATCGTTGGGTACCTACAATGTTTCTTAAGCATTACCCGTAGAACAAACCTTTGTGCTCTCTCTAAATTAATCATGTAACATTTGGACGCGCTGCCCCAGACAGAGATACAATAAGAAATGAACGACTGGCAGAGAGCTAAGAAAACTGATTTAAATATATCGATGCAGGCCGAATCTCATAGTTTTCGCATTATATGATACTGAAATAATTACTTTTTTTAGTATGTGGGACAAAATTGTTTGTAAATTACTTTATAGAAAGTCCCCCTTGGTGACCGGGGTGTAAACAAGTCATACAAATATTATTAAAATTAATGAACATGGGACAATAACATTGGAATAATCAAATTTATAAAAGTATGAAATAAAACGCTATAATACTAAATAATTGGGTAAAGTCCATGTCATCGTAGCAACTTGGCACTTAGAAATACAATCATCATCATTGATACAATCATGAAGTTAAATTATGGAATATAATTTTTATAGTTCATTGTAAGTATCAATCAATTCCAGATTAACATTATACTAAAGGAAAACATAATTACATAATAATATCACAGAGACTTTATAACAAATATACAGTATCTAGTACTTATAACAAAAGAAATTTCAAACTTACTGCAAAAATGACATTCTGTAAACCAATAGACTACGTTATAAATGTAGTACTTACGTTCCGACATTATATTTCTAAAGCATTCAGCCTGTCTGATGATACGGTCTAATTCTTCATTAGTACGATCACTCAGAGCATTAAATTTTGATGTGGCTTTGTCCAAATCCTGCTCGACCCCGAGACACGAATCCATTCTTTATACAACTTAGAACTTCAGGTATAAATAGAGCTATTATTGCATTTAAAAATATACTCGTAATTCACACAATTTTTTTTGTTATATATTCAAAACAGACATTTTTCTTTCTCTTTATCCGAAGTTGAATTTGTATTTTAATGTACTACACATGTACCTCTGTGTGCTTTAATAATACAAATTGTCATGACATTTGATTGCAAATTGTGATTACATTTTACAGATAAAATAAATATAGTTTCACATAGCGAATAACTTTTTTGTGAAGTCCCTCAGACTGCACGACTGCACATCTGGAACAATAATAAAATAACGTATGAAGCAATTCAATATAAAAATTAAGGATTTATTGATTTTTTAAAGAAAAATTTGTATGGCGCTGACATAAATATGAGGATATCTCTGGAATCACATGGTTGGCCGTTATATCGTTGCACACAGTTATTGTACTATTTATTCGTAATTTTGGACATACCTACTTCATATACCTTACTTTCGGTCACCATGCATTTCGGGGTTCTGATTATACCATGAGACGTTGAAGCTGGTTGTACGACGAAGACCTCTGAGGTTCCCTTTTGACTGCAGCTCAAATTAAATTTTCGGTTTTTACGAAATTGGTTTATTTAGTAAAATATACCTAATAAAGTAGCACTTGCTTATGATGTGAAATCATTACCATTTTAGACATTTTTTTCGGCTATTATTTTTGCACGCATAAATTTGTTAGTGGGTACATCCCTATTAAGAAGTGCACACAGCACAACTAGTAATTGTTCTTTGTCAATAGATAGAAGAGTAGAATAATAATATGGTCTCAAGAAAATGTATTACAGTAAAACAGTCAGTGATATCTTAAATAAATAATATTAATAAGAGGTTTGTTTCCCTCATCTGAGCATTCCTATACTCTTCAAAATTAAGCAATACGGCGTGCGTCTCCACACGTGTCAGACCTATTCAGTTTCAGCCTTCAGTTATAGACACTAGCTCAACCGTGGTCGTCGGGCTACGCCCATATGGCACTTCCACTTGTTTTTTCTATTCCGTGTGTCAGACATTACGTACGCCTTTTACGCCTATAACTTATTGCCTTTTGATATGAAAAATCTATAGCCGCACGTAAAACCGATTTCTGGCGTGGCGACGCCACGCTATATGATGGTATATATATATATATATATATATGTACACAGTCTATATGCAGTAGTGTGTACGATTAATTACTCAAATTTAAATTAATTCTTAATAATTATTTATTAATTAATTAAATTAACTTTATTTAATTGTGTGTACGAATTAAGTAGTCACGATTTGAAATAAATTCGTAAATTTTTGTATTTAATGAAAATAAATGTTTATTCAATAAATAGTCATCGTTATCTGGAAAAAAAAATCGTAATATTTTATTTTATCAATATGACAATTAGTTCCTATCACAATCTGTTCTTTACTGCATATTACTTTTACCAAAAAATGTCGATGTTTCACATCTGCCAGGCGTCCCGTGAGGGCCACAGAGTACTTTGGTATATAGTGGTGACAGCTCACATTTTTTTTAATGTGCTGCTTTAGTTAGAGTTTTTATCAAGCGTAATGCTAAGATTAGCCGTTCTGTACCACAGAATGGGTTGACCGAATACATTGACGGGAGAGAGTTTTTAAGAAGCTAGGTTAAAGCTCCGTCTTCTTAAATTTGAAATCAACGATTCGACAAGTACTCCAATATGATTTTAACGAGTCTGTCTGGCACTCCTAGCGCTCTCGTTATAAAATAAATTAAACTTTTTTTGCCAGACTTTTTCACGAGACTGTCTTCAGAGTGATGATTAGAAACTATGTACTCCACGAGGTCTTGAAGGACGCTTTAATTTAAATTATTAGGTACTCTCTTAGAGACTCTCTTTTTTTTTAATCTGTGATAAATTCTACGTCTATGTACTAATGTCTGTGGTTTTACATTATAATCGGTATTCGATTCTTCTTGTTGCACAATTTCTTTTTTTCAACAATATAGGTTATATTACGAGAATCAATTAATTTATTTAGATTCACGTCAAGAGGCCTACTCAAAATGGCACAAAGTAAGTTGAACGACATGGCTGGCAAATTTGCAAAAGGGGGGCCACCCGGTCTTGGTATAGGATTGAAAGTTATGGCCGCAGTTGGTGCAGCGGCCTACGGTATTTCTCAATCTGTATTTACCGTTGAAGGTGGTCACCGAGCCATTATGTTTAATAGAATTGGTGGCGTCCAACAACATGTCATGACGGAAGGTATGCATTTCCGTATACCTTGGTTCCAGTATCCTATTATCTACGACATAAGGTCGCGTCCGCGGAAAATTTCATCTCCCACGGGCTCTAAGGATTTGCAAATGGTTAATATTTCTTTGAGAGTTTTATCACGGCCAGATGCTCGATTTCTGCCCATAATGTATCGACAACTTGGAACTGACTATGATGAAAAAGTATTGCCATCTATCTGTAATGAAGTTTTGAAATCTGTAGTTGCTAAATTTAATGCATCGCAACTCATCACACAACGTCAACAAGTATCTTTGCTAATTAGACGGGAGCTTGTGGAGCGCGCAGCAGATTTTAACATTATTTTGGATGATGTTTCACTTACCGAGCTAAGCTTTGGCAAGGAATACACTGCTGCCGTTGAAGCAAAGCAAGTTGCTCAACAAGAAGCTCAGCGTGCTGCTTTCGTTGTTGAAAGAGCAAAACAAGAGCGTCAACAGAAAATAGTACAAGCTGAAGGTGAAGCTGAAGCAGCAGAAATGTTGGGAAAAGCAATGGGCATGAATCCTGGTTATTTGAAGTTACGTAAAATCCGTGCAGCTCAAAGCATTTCTAGAATGATAGCTCAGTCTCAAAACAGAGTATTCCTCCCTGGAAACAGCCTTATGATTAATCTTCAGGATCCCACTTTTGACGACTTGTCAGAAAAATTGACAAAGAAGAAGTAACATGAGGCTCAGGGGGAGGGTTCTGATTGTCTGAAGCCAGTAACTACTCTTTCCGAAGATGAAACTGCAGTTATAATAAGTGGTGCTGCTTCAGTAGCTATTTAAAAAGGAACATTTGCATTTGAATATAATCAAACTGTGTTAAAATTTTTGCAATTTAGGTGTTCAATATTGCATTTTATGCTATTTAGATGTAGATATTTAGTCTGTATGGGAATCATTTGATTGTAATAAAAATTAAAAGTATTGGGTTTTATTTTATTCATATTTTAAATTATGAAAGCATTTATAAAGACCCAAAGATTTCATTCTAATAAAAAACGGCCAAGTGCGATTCGGACTTGCGCATAAAGGGTTCCATACCATTATCTATACAAATGGCAAAAATGTCTGTTCTATGACAGCCCCGCTTAAATATTTGTTTATTGTAATTATTACAGTTCAAGAGATACAGCCTGGTGACAGACACGACAGTCTTAGAAATAGGACCGAAAATACTTAGTATTTTCTTGACCCACAAATTACTGTTCCTACACACATCTGTTTGTCTATGTAAAATTGGTGTATGCCAAATATTCTTCACTCCTGTGTTTGCAATGCCCAATTACTCTATAAAAATACTAATAGTATTATTATAATACTAATAGTATTATTATACAGTAATTTGGGCATTTTTTTCTTTTTTTAACTTCCAATGTATACAGCGTGTCTTTACAATCGCGACAATAAATGAACACGCATATAGAGGATAACTTTTTTAAATTGTACTAAACATTTAAATTATTTAAATATCAATATTTACAGAGTTATTAAATTTTCCAAAACAAAGAATTTTAGAACACCCTTACATATAAAACTAATGTAAAGTTCATATTAATGGGTTGAATGAATTTAAAAGAGACAAAACATACTATTAGAAGGAGAGGCTTGTAATTCGACGCTGTGGCAATGAATGAAAAAGTCTCGGAATGTATGAATCAGTCAGTTGTAGTTGTATAGGTGTTACAAATTTTGTTTCTTTTTTACTTAATTAGTTTGAAAAAAAATTTTTTTTAATCATGGATTTTTTTAATGTTAATATTTTTTATGATTATTGGCAAGTAGCGTTAGACGTGTGTTCATTTATTGTCGCGATAGTAACGACACGCTGTATAGTATTTTATGATTCATTCTTCTCAAGATTCCTTAACATCAGAATAAAGCTGTAAAAAACTCGAATAGTTTAACAGTTTGTTCATTAGCCTTATATCATGTGGTGGGTTAAAATTGTTGTTCTTGTGGTCAAAACACAATATAATTCAAAAGTAATTGATGCTGTTGACTTTCGGACTAAGTGCAACCTAGTGCAACTTTGCCTAATGGCAAAGTGTATGAAGAGGTTTTGGTTTGTTGGGAGTGCATAGGTAATCATAATCACCTGATAATCCATAATTCCTGAACAAAGTTGAAATTACGTTTTTTTCACTGACTGGAAAAAGTATGATGATGGGTTTTTATTATTATAACAATTTTTATAGATGTTCAAGAATAGAAACATGTTGCTTAATCCGATTGTGTAATCAGTATTTTTATGTAGATGTTTGATGATTTGGTAGGGAAATTGTCTTAAAGTCCTAAAAACCCATTCATTGTTGAAACTTATTAAATGTAATATGGTTTCAACTGTATATTTATTATTATACATAAAGTTGAAACCATCTTACACTACCTATTGGTATGACTGTTGCATAACAGCCTCTTCAAATGATATATATATATATATATATATATATATATATTGCAAATACAACAGGCTATGCTAAACACTATTTGGTCATTTTTACAAAAACTAACTAAGACTACAAAAATATTATGAATAGCAGTGATAAACAACATTTTGGGATGATTAGGCTGTCTAATAGTATTAACTCTGTATGCAATCAGTGATACAGTTCTGTTTGATTATAATTTAATACAGAAATTAAAGATTAATCAAATAATGTTAAGGCAAGGTTATCTCATAAAATGTAGAAAAAGCATGTTTGATTAAACAATAATTTAATATTTTCTAGACTAAAACAAAAATGACATTGTTAAGTATTTCACTTCTTTACGGCAGAAGGTTGTGGTAGTCTAAACTTGGCCATTTCAATTTCTGCTTCAAAAAAACTTGTACTATCATAGCAGAAGTACTCAGGCACCTTATAGGCCCCATTTTTGTTGGGATCGACTCCGGGACCAACAGGTTGTGTAGCAGGATGTACTACTGCAGCGCTAAGTCCTGGTACATCAGGGATAGTTTGAGGCGATGTTGACGGCGGAATAGAAGACGACGCTGAGCTATGCGTTTGGCCTACGCCTTCGCTGTAAGCTCTTTTAAAAACTCTAACCAAATTACTGCGAAATCCAAAACTGGCCATCATGTTTACTATTACACAACAATCGTACTCCTATCAGTATCAATCATCAAGAAAATTTTGTTCAAAATTGACATTTGACACTGATTTCATGACAGTTGACAGCACCTTTTTTCCTTCTTTCTGGCCAGGTGGAGGCAGTTATAGTCAACAAAACTGCCAACACAGGTAAAATTCGTAAAAAAGGGATAATTCTCCACAAAAGAGCGAGAAATAAAGTTTTACATCCGCCGCTTTATGCAGTATTGTGAATATCATCACAGTCTGTACGATGTCCGGCAACAAAGAGCAGGATTAACCTTGCATTCTGCAAAGGACTTACAAGTTCCTCTCACCGCTTGCAGTCCACCGCGCAGAAGTGTCAGTGGTTTAGCGTCCTACGTAGCGGACTGCCGTGTTGCAAGCAGAAGCAATTAGGAAGCGGGACCGTAGTCCACCATTTTGTCACAATGGACAACACGTGTTGAGAACATTTTATTGAAATATACAGAAAACCGGTGTCAAATCTTGAATGGTAGATGTGGCTAATGAGATCACTTTCAAGCCAAAAATACACTTAAGGACTGATAAGAAAACTATTTATTTCAACTTTAACATTTTTAACTTATTTTAGACGAAACATTATGAAATTTATGTAAAATACAAGAGTTATGTCAGATAGCTAGACATGTTACTTCTTCAAACGATTTTTACGGAATTAATCAAATATGATAATTCAGTCTGAACAAATAAAACTAACATTGCAAATTTAAAGTAATTCAAACATAATACATAAATCAAACAGTTCAGAGTTGACATCAAAAGAATATGTATAATCTGAGATTACTAATCAACACACCCCCTTAATCTCAGATCATCATAACACCAGACAAGTAAAGAAAACCCAAAAAAATTAGAAATTATCAACAAACAAATCACCAATCATAAGACAACAATAACACAATCTCTCAACAAAAACAAAAACTCTTAATAATAACTCAAACCACAAAAATACAATAAAAACACAATACATTACAAAGGAAGAGATCAAAAATTCTGTAAAAAGTTTCTCTGAAAAATTCCGTTTTGAATTCCGATCCTTTCCCTATACTACAATCTCATACACACGCTTCCACTGCGTGAATTTCTATTATTAACACCCCCTTAAATTAGCACTACCTACACTAAAAGGTTTAGAATGAAAATACCTAAAATTCTTAATAACGTTTATCAAGGCAATAACATCAATGTGCCACATCAAAGCAGCTTGTTTTAGAACGTAAAGACTTCTTCAACCCACAAATCTTTCCCTTCAGCCTCTTTTTCACCAGCCAACTCCCACGCGCCATTCCTCTCCAAAGAAAAAAAAATTCTCCACAGTTATCAACCATCTCTCCCTCTCACCGGAGCGAACCGCCTCTCCAAACGTAAAAGTGCACAAAGCCAAAAAATCCACAACATAATTCTTATACCTCTTAGGTTTACCTAAGAGGTATAAGAATTATGTTGTTATGTTATGTATATGAGGTTTAGGCCAGGCGGCCTCAGCCGCCTCAGTGCCCGGCCAACTCAAGCCCGGTGGATCTCTAAAGGCCTCCGCAAGTCCAACAGTGGACTATCACGCTATGAAATAATTTAAGAAAAACATCCATTGACAATAATTTTGTAAGTTAAATAATTTTTGACACAAGACTGGTAATTACTATTATTCTATAAAATGAAGTATTTTTCGATGACTTACAATTCTCAACATAATATTACATAGCTACCTTTCGGTAAACAAACACGATACTGTGCGAAAAAATCGTACAGATCAACCAGCTAAGGTTATAAATTTTCTTGCAATTTTTTTACACAAATTAATCATTATTGATTGAATTTAAGTAATCGTAAGATGAAAATATTTTATATATAGTCTATTATTTATTTAGTAACAAGCTATAGACATGCTGCATGAACTGTGCTTCTCTCTACTATCTATGGTTCTTTTTCACGACTGTTTTGGATAGTTTACCTACCTTGCTTATTTCGCCGATTTCTCGGTCTAACACTAAAATATGACTGCTAATTAATGTACAACATTTATAATACACTAGAATGAAGTGTTACAATTACAGTTAAGATCAACTTGTACGACAGAATCCTGCAAAACAATACATCAGCCATTTACATGAAAGGTAAGTACTACAAAAAATTGATACCTCGATATTTTTTGTTTTCTTATATGGACTTAGTGTACCGTTGTGTTAGTGAACAAGTGTCCTTTCATTAGTTTAACATACTTTGTCTCATACAATCTCATCTTACTTAATTTAAATAAATTATTCATGTATCATCACATATAATACGGATTGTATGTATACATGCTATGTATTGCCGCTATTTTGTTATATTTGTGTTTAGTGATTTTGTATAATACGACTAAGTTCAATACAGTTGCGAAACCGACGTTTCTATTCATGCATAAGCATAATATATACCGAAAACGTATTTTAAAGAAACCATTGTTATGATATATTCTATTACAATATATCAATTCAAATTATCTGTTAATTGCACTAATATACCATTTTGTTATGTTTTATTTTCTTTATTTTATCTAGTGTAAATTAAATTTGCTGC